TTCATCGGAGCCTTCTTCATCGCTCCATGTAGCCACATGAGCCTTGTGCTTTTTCTTGGATTGACCCTTTTTCTTCAATTGAAGGCAATCATATTTGACATGCCCCGGCTTTTTGCATTCGTAGCAAATGATCGGACCCTTCTCATTTGGTTCAGTTTTCAAGCCTTCATTTCGTTTGAATTTTCTTCCTCGGTTGGGCCTCATTAATTTTTTGAACTGTTTGCCAAATAATGCCATTTCCTCATCATCGTCATCTTCATCCGAATCACTCTCATATTTTGTGGATTTGAGAGCAACTCCAACGTTCTTCTTCTTCTCCTTCTTTTTTGGTGTCTCATCAATCTTATCGAGGTCTACCTCATCTTGAAGCATCATTTCATAAGTGAGGAGTGAACCGATTAGTTCTTCAAGGGTTAACGACTTTAAGTTCTTAGCCTCGATGATTGTCGTCTTCTTTGATTGCCACGATTTTGGAAGTGAATAAACCAACTTCCTCACAAGCTTTTCATTTGGAATGATATCTCCATATGATTTGAGACAATTGACAATCGTGGAAAATCTATCCGTCATAGCTTTGATGTCTTCATCTGGTTTTATCCTGAAATTTTTATAGCTATGAGTTAGAAGACTAATTTTAGATTCTTTTACCTCGTCGGTGCCTTCATGAGTGACTTGTAATTTGTCCCATATCTCCTTGGCAGTTGTATAAGATGAAACTCTCACGTATTCATCCGGTCCAAGAGCACAAAAGATAATATGGATGGCTTTAGAGTTGAGCTGGAATATTCTTGTTTCTCCTTTACTCCACAATCTTGGATGAGTGGAAGGTTTGATGTATCCGTCTTTCATAATATTTCATGCTCCCATATCACTTGCTTGAATGAAATACATCATCATATTCTTCCAATAAGCATAATTAGCTCCATTGAAGAAAGAATGCTTGTTAACGGGCAATGAATCAAGACCGAAGTCGGAGTTTGAAGTGGAGGCCATTGATGACTTGATTATCGATGTAACTCTTCACGGATCTACTCAAGAGGCGATTAAACCTTAAAATGAGTCAAGCTCTAATACCAATTTTTGAGTTAATCGATCGATGGAATCGACCAAGAGGGGGTGAATTGGCAATTAAAAAAATGGTGGAAGCTTTTACAGAAAATTGAAAGTAATTGCACATTGATTTAGAGTGGTTCGACTTTCTCAACCAAAGTCTACGTCCACTACCTTAGCTATCCACACTAAGGATTTTCCACAAATTCACTAATTTGTATTTCTTTTGAGGACAAAGAGTAACCTTACAAATCCCTCAAGAATTATACCCCAAATTCTTGAGAACACTCTCTCCCAAAGAGAATAATACAAATTTTGCAAACTTACAAGAAAATCCTCACAATGCAAGATGTTTGCACAATTTTATAATAAAGAAAGGACACTCGAGAATAATACAATTGAGCACAATAAGTGTTCTTGAAAGCAAAAATGAATATTGAATGAAATGGACTTGAAAATGCTCAAACTTGATGTTTGATGCTTTCTCTTTGATTCTCTCTTGATTCTTGTTGATTGTTGTTTCTTGTTCTTGATCAATGGCTTCTAAGCTTGTTTAAATACTCCTTCAATTGATTCTGAACGTTGGGGATGGTTAGTGGAGTCAATAGAGCCATTTAAGTGTGAAAACAATTAATAAAACTGCTTGGAGCATGGGGGAATCGATACCCCCTCATATGGAATCGATTTCTATAGTGTAAAATTCAAATATTTCGACCGTTGAACAGGGGGAATCGGTTCCCTCCAAGCATTCTGTTATTTCTCGGAGTCAAACCATTCAGGGGGAATCGGTACCCCCTTGGGGAGGAATCGGTTCCCTCTGGGCAATCTACCTATTTTGGTTTGATTTTAATTAAGAAATTATTTTTGACTCGATTAAGGCTCGAAATACTTTGTAAATTTGTTTAACATATTTTTACAATTTAGTAAGGATTAAAATGAATTTTGAAAGATTTGGAGTAATTTTTTATATTCGAATAATTATATCAAATAAACTTAGAAAAACTTTTGTAAAATCTTAAAATTCATTTAACTTAATTTTTTATATCGAAATATAAAAATGTTTTCAACAACTTATAATGCCAATTACCACAACCATCTAATTTATCCTGGAGAACTTAAAAATTGTCAATCCTCATCAACATCATTACAATCAGCAGTCATCGATATCACAACCTCATATACAATAATAGACCACACAACCATAACAACACTAAAACTATCAAGGATAGTCTTCAATACAAACCACAAATCTTATATCTATTAAAGTCTTAATGAAGGATTTCATGTCAAGCCAATCAACATCATTAAGAGTTTTAGAAAATCAAGTTGGTCAACTGACGAATGCTTTGAGTAATAGACCACAAAGAGCACTGCCCAACGATATCGAGAATCCAAAATAGCAAGTGAAAGCCCAATGCAATAAACATTGCAAGGTTATTACGAATTGAAGTGGTCTCCACATTGGAAGGATTGTTGAGGAACCTAAGAAAGCAAATGATGAGATTGCAAGATATGATAAAGACAAGATCATAGAAATGAACTTTAAATCATCTATTGTTGATGTTACAACAAGAGAAACTAGTCAGTATAGCAATTCAATACTATTTCCAGCAGCAATGTCGACCATATTGTCGTATGTAGTGCCACTTCCAATACCCAAGTAATTAAATCAAATACCTCTACCACATTTTTTTGTAAAGATTTAAGAAAACTAAGGAGGATCAGCAATATCGAGTGTTTATTAAGGTGCTCAAGAAACTAACCATCAACATCCCGTTGATTTATGCTTTGGAGCAAAACCTGAATCATATCAAGTTTATGAAGGAAGTTATTTTTAAGAAGAGAAGACTTGGAGAATTTGAAACCGATGCACTTTTCGAGGGATGCAATACTATGGCTACAAGTCGATTGCCACCAAAAATCAAAGATCTAGGGAATCTCACTATTCCTTGCATTATTGGTGATAAATTTGTAGGAAAAACTTTATGTGACTTGGGTGCTAATATTAACCTAATGACATTGTCCATTTTTAGGAAGTTTAGAAGTGGAGAAGCAAGACCTACTACCATTACTTTGTAACTTGTTAATCGATTCACAGTGTATCCTAATGAAATCCTGGAATATATGCTAGTTCGAGTGGAAAAATTTATTTTCCCACAGACTTCATCATTTTGGATTGTGAAACTGACAAAGATATTCTCATCATACTTGGTCACCCATTTCTTGCCACCAACCAAACTTTGATTGATGACAAAAAAACTTACTATGTGTTTGAATGATGAACACGTTAATTTTAATGTCTTGAATAATGTTTCCTATATTGTTAATAATATTGAATTATATTTGATTGATATTATTGATATGTTCGCGTAGGATTATTGGAATGAATGCCACAATATGAATGATGCTACCAATATGATAGTGACAATTGAAGAGACAACTGGGGATGAGGGAGATGAGGGAAATTATATGCGACACTTTGAATCATTGGAACTACCTGATCAGTCTATTTATGCTCTAAAAACCTCGATTGAAAAGCCATCCATGTTGGAAATAAAGCCTTTGTCTCAACATTTAAAGTATGCATACCTTAGGGACAATGATACTTTGTTTGTCATTATTGTAGCAAAGCTTTAAGCATCACAAGAAGCCAATCTGGTTACTGTTTGAAGTAGCACAAGTGATCAATTTCTTGGAGCATTGTTGATATTAAAGGCATTAGTGCAGCATCTTGTATGCATAAAATCTTACTGGAGAATCTAAACAATAGTTTAGTCGAGCAACAAAAAAGTTATTCGAAAGGATGTTATAAAATGATTGGATGCTATAGTCATATACCCAATCTCGGATAACAATTGGGCCAGTCTTGTGAACTATGTCCCAAAGAAAGGCGGCATTACTGTGGTTACAAATGATAAAAATTAATTAATGCCAACAAGGACCACTACTGGTTGGAGAATCTGTACAGACTATAGAAAGCTCAATAAAGCTACAAGGAAAGATCACTTCTCATTTCTATTTATAGATCAAATGTTGGATTGTCTCGTCGGAAAAGTTTTCTATTGTCTCTTAGATGGGTACAGTGGTTACAACCAAATAACTATAGCCCTTGAAGACCAGAAGAAAACTATTTTCACTTGCCCTTATGGTACTTGTAAATAACTTTTTTACGAGTTAAAAATAGGTACGACTTTTGAGAAATGATTGGGTTTCAAAATCGTTTTAATTTGGAGTTGTCATTGACATTTGGATTAGGTAGGTTGAGTCTTTCATGTTATACACTATGATAATCAAACCCTAAAGTCATTGTCTACACTAATCATTCAACTTTGAAGTATTTATTTTCTAAAAATGATACTAAGTCGAGGTTAATGAGATGTATGTTGTTACTTCAAAAATTCAACATTGAAGTTAGAGATAAGAAAGATTCTGAGAACCAAGTGGTTGATCACTTATCGCGATTGGAAGCTAGTAATGAAGATGGAAAAAAATACTAGCAATTTTGGACACATTTCCCGATGAGAGGTTACTTGTTGTTGAAGTTTTGCCTTGGTATATGGATTTCGTTAACTATTTGGTAAGCAGATTACTACCACCTGACCTTAACTATCAAGGAAGAAAAAATTCATGAGAGATGTTTGTGTGTACCATTGGGAAGAGTCATACCTTTTCAAGCAACGTAATGATCAAATTTTGAGAAAATATGTCCCTGAATGTGAGCAGCAAAGAATTCTACATCATTGCCACAGTGCACCCTATGAAGGACATTTTAAAGGCATATGGACTGCACCAAAGGTTCTGCAATGTAGCTATACTATTGGCCATCACTGTTCAAATATGTTAATGATTTTATGAAGCAATACGATCATTGCCAATGAACTAACAGCATTTCCCGTCACAATGAAATGACAATGCAGCCTATTTTGGAGATCGAACTGTTTGATGTCTAGGGGTTGGATTTCATGGGACCATATCCTTCATCATATGGAAACTTTTTCATTTTAGTTGTTGTTGACTATGTCTCAAAATGGGTGGAAGTTGGAGCATTGCACAGCAGCAATGCCAAAGCGATGCTAAGGTTTATCCACAAAAATATTTTTACTAGATTTGGAACACCCACAACATTTATCAGTGATGAAGTATCTCAATTCATTGGAAAACAAGTGGCTCAAGAATTGCATCGGTATAGAGTTAAACATCGGATTGCTACAACATATCATCCGCAGACTAATGGCCAAGCTGAAGTTTCTAACCGCGAGATAAAACAAGTTCTTGAAAATGTTGTTAATCCTTCTCGTAAATATTGGTCCCTACATCTTGAGGAGGCATTATGGGCTTATATGATAGCATATAAAACCTCGCTATGCATGTCTCCTTATCGCCTAGTATATGGCAAGGCTTGCCACTTACCCGGGGAGCTGGAGCTTCAATCCATTTGGGCTTTGAAACAACTAAACTTTGATTTGGATGTTGCTGGCGAAAAATGAATGATGAACATCAATGAATTATAAGAGCTCAAGAACAATGCTTATGAGAGTGCACGGATTTATAAACATAAGAGTAAAAAAAGACATGACAAACATATTTTGCCAAGGTAGTTTAATGTTGGACAACATGTCTTGTTATTAAACTCACATCTAAAGATATTTCCTAGAAACCTATAGATGGTCTGGTCCATTTGAAGTCATTGAAGTTTTTCCTCATGGTGTTGCGATGATAAAAAGCTTAATGGGTGGAAGTACAATTAAAGTTAATGGGCAACGTTTGAAGCCTTGTTACCAAAACAAAACCTATATATTTATTCCATCACACTAAGCAAATATTCCAATTTTTAATTTCTTATAGCATTTAATAAGTCATTTTTTTTACATTTTTTGTAGTTTTAGTTTCTTTTATTCATTTTAATTTTAATTGTTTTCTATACATGTCTTCGCTGTAGCTATGCATACAACTTCTCTGTTTTACTTCGGAGAATGCTTCACAACAATCGGTCCAACTTTGGGTATCAAATGTTGCATACATTGTTGGTAGCATTAGACAGCTAAATAGGGTAATTTTTATGCGGTAAAGAGTAATGAGTTTTACCCCATTTCTCTTTCCACTACATCAGCACTGTCCATATCTCCCGATCAACACCATTCATTCAAAATTTTCATCATTATCCATTTCACCTATTTAAATTTTCAATTAAAAGTTTTATCTTTTCTACAAACAACATTTAACACCCCTTCAAGGTCATTGACTTCCATTTTTCTCACATTTAGTCGATTTTCTCTAAAATCTTAAAGTTTGCATTTTTATTTTTATTTTCTCTTCATCTTCCCATTACTTTTCTTCCTTCCTCCAAAAAATATCACGGTACCAAAGAAGAAGATTGCTGCTAAAATTTCTCGACCACCACCAGCCCTCCATTAAAAGAACCTTTAATGCAACCGCTGACCATTTCGAATGGCGGCCCGATGATATTCATGGAGGCCGAGTAACAGCAACGATATATCGAAGAATTCTCCAATCATGACTTTTGCTATGAGTAAGGCTTCGACCTCTCCTCGATAAACGACCTTCAACCATTTGATTATATTGTTGCCATCATCGCTACACTCCATTAGGAAACATTTTTTGAGCATCCGGGTAAAATCAATCAATAACTCGTTTGGGAATTTTATAGCAATCTCACAAATGAGAATAAACCCCTAGTCTTTGTTCGTGAAAAAATAGTACATTAGTTAGTGAAGCCGATTAACATGATGTTGGGCATCAAAGATGCTAAATGTGAACACACAACATTCGTTAACAATCTGACCAATGTTGAATTAGAGTAAATGGGTACGAATGTCTTCTTACATGGTAAAATATGGGATAAATCACCAAATGGAGTATATACCATGAAGAGGTTGAGTCTCAACATGTCAACATGGTATAGTTCACTTTTCATTGCACTCGTTTAATGCCTATAATACATTACTCATTGATTACTAAGGATATAATTTTATTACTGCACTCTATCTTGGCTAGTCAACACATTGATATCAGAAAAATCATATATTCTAAACTCTTTGCTTGTGCTCATAAAACTTCAGGGTATTTATTTTTCCCTTCACTAATTACTTAACTATGCAAGCAAGCACAAGTGACAACCTTGTATTTTGATCAGGTATTTACTAATCGAAATGTTATCATGCCATTTTGTATCAAACGTGTATTGCTGAATAAAGGGCTAGAACCAAACCATCATGAATATGAGACATTTAGCGAAGCTACTACTGATGTTGACCAAACTACAGTGTCGCAAGTAAGTCTTACTATTTTGGAGTTGTAGAGTGACATGCATCAATGTCAACCAAGCAAGACAATATCATGTCAATGATTTAGTCACCTGTTGTAGAACCAATCCCAGGTGCATAATGCTCAAGTGCAATATTGGAAATACGTTAATGACCATGACAAGACAATTTAGCAAATCATAAGCAAGCAGTTCAAGAATATATAAGTTTCATTCCCTAATTTCCCGATGATGGTATTGAGTGACTTAACTCTATCGATAATGCTAGATGTTAAAGCAAGCTATACCAGCTTTGAAGTAGGGAGGAACATGAGGACAATGCTAAAGACAAGGGTACAACAACAAACGAGGAAGAACAAACAGTGCTTTTGAAGAGAATGATGAAGAATATGACATCGTGGTTGATTCAACGATATCTATCGAAATTCTTACTGTCGACCCTGAGGATGTTAACACTGAAGAGTCAACACTAAAGAAGTTGATGAAGAGCAAACCAACCACTAAGAAAAGAAAAATAATGATAAACAAGCTACACAAGAATTGTTAGATTTGAATACTGACACAGTGATGAAGGATACGGCAACAAGTGAACAACATGATCTTGATGTTGAGCAGATAATCGGTAATTTCATCAAAGCATTTGAGACAACTGCTGCACTCAGTCCACTGAAAGACTCTACCGCTGAGCTAGTTGGTAATGCTAAGAAATCTATAGAAGAGCCCACAATAAAAACCCTACACCAAAAACGAAGGATGCTACTAAGTATCGGATACTCTTATTCCTAATGGTGTTGTAGTCAAGGCCACATCAACGTCAACAAGCTAAAAGCGAAATAGTTTTACAAAGATCAAAGTCATTGCAAAGTGCATCCATTCAAGCATAATCCAACCCACTCAAAAGCCTGAAAGAACCAACTTAGGGGAGTTTTGTTCTTCCTTTCACATGAAACTTTTTATTTTTGTTTTAAGCATGCATTAAGGACAATACATCCCTTAGAGTTGGGGGTGTATTGTCTAGTTTGTGTCTTGTGTTATGTTTCTTTTTGTGATTAGGAATGTATGTTGTTTAGTATTAATTGCATGATTTTAGCATTTTGTTTCAGCGTATAGGAAGTGCATTTGTGATACCGTAGGATTAATACTAGAAAATAAATTAGAGTTATTTTCTTTTAGGAAATTTTGATGATGTTCAATGATGAAAAATCATATAATGTGAAATGCTAGGGGAATGCTATAGAGACTTAGAAGAATTATAGTTCATATAAACTTTTTAACACTTTAGGTGTATGATCTCAAATACTTAGAAATGTTAGAAATTGTTGAACTTTAAATCTGATATCTTTATTAGATGTTTTAATGAATTTTGTTAGAAAAAATAGGAACAAGTTGGAAAAACTGGTAATAGCTCCAACATAGTTTTAGGGAATAAGTTGAAAAAGATAGTAATAGCTCCAAAATATATCTAAACAGATTGTTGCAGCATTGAAAATGATTAATTGAGTGGCAAGAATTTTTTCTAACTTAGCTAAGTATTGACTGTATACACTTAGCATGCACACTATTACACTATTTGAATTCTAAATTTGCTAAGTTGAAATTGCATTCCTTAAATTTAAGATTATATATGATGTATGCACTGCTGTAGCAGTTCTTTGATGGATGAAAAAATGAAATTAAAGGGAAAAAAATTATTGGTTTCCTAATATGTTGTTTTGTGGCATTGTTTTTAGTAATCATGCATATTGTTGCTTGAGGACAAGCAAACACTTAGGTTTGGCGGTGTGATAACTCTCCAAAATAGTTATTATTTAAGATTTTTTACCTAGGTTGAGCTTAAAATTTAGCATCATTAGGATCATTTATTTTTATATAGTTCATCATTTGAATCATGAGAGTGATTTGGTGGAAGTTGACTTGATTTTATTTTTTTATGCTAAAAATTAGTACGCTGATATTGTAGCATTGCTTGAAGTTACAGGAGATATTGTGTTGCAATGTTGTGTCGGATTACCGAACAAAGCCTGCAACAATTGGTGACTCACTAGGTGATTTGAATAACCTTCTAGAATGAACAATTGTAAGTGAACAACTGTTAATTAATCTAGAACCACATGAAACATGGAGAAGAAACATTGGTTGATGGTCAATTCCCTTAACCTATAAATTGGAGAGCACCTTATACCATTGGATATCAATTCAATTACCTCCAAATTTTCTCTCCACCATATTCGATCTATAGTTTTTCGTCGGGGGTGCAACAGAAGTAGTAGAGTAGTCGTGTAGTAGTAGTGATTTATATGGGTTGAATCTTGTTCAGTGTTATTTGCTTGAGAGAGGAGGAATACACTTTGATAAGTTTGGATGATTATTGTTATGTTTTTATTTGGTACCGAACATAAGGTGTTCGGTGAATTGCTTGACTAATAGTTTTTGTTTCAGTTATATATTTATGAGCTGAATTTTGGATTTTTTTAGAGATAAATGCATCTTTATGTGTGTTAATTTTTATTGTTTTTAGAGATAAGAATGATTGAGATTGCATGCTACTTTAGTTCCAGCATCAGTATTTATGAGAGTAAATTAATTCATATAGAGATGTATGATGCCTATTGTTATGTTTTGTTAACTGTTTAATCTATGGTTTTGATGAGAATTAACTCCATTGGATTAAGTGTTTAATTCTTGAGAAATAATTAACGTGTTAACTGTTGCATAACTCATAACTATATTGTCACAACATAACCATAAGGTAAAGAACCAAGTAATCACAACATTCTTAGGTCCATCGGTCTAATTGTTTTGTTGTTTGTTGTAGCATTCCTCTACTTCCTTTATTCTTATTTCTTTATTTTGCTAGCTGTTTATTATTTTACCACTTCAACTGCATATTTTTCTAACATTTGCCACACAACTCTTGTGCAACAAATTGCTCTATGTGGGATTCAACACTCATAACTTTTTGAGCTATCACTTTATTACGTGAATGATAGTGTATCACTTTTATCACTTTATCATTTTGTTGTAGCATTATCTTAACATCAATAGTATTTTTAAAATATTTATTGAAGTAAAATTATTAATAAAAATGTAATATTGAATAACACTAAATAATTAGTAACACTAATTCATTTCATAATTATAATCATAAAGGTTATATAAAATAAAAAAATAACCTTCATATTTACATATATATTTTTAGCCTAACATTATAATTATACTTTTACTTTTTAAAATTGTTTTATGGTATATATTAGTTTACAATCAACAAATATTTATAAATTAAAAATTTTAAATTAATGAAAAGTTTAATAAATTAGGACCACAGTGGGACATGTGGAGGCCATGGACCTATTGTCCCCCAAAACCTAAAAAGTTTAATTTTAGACTCTTAAAATTTTCAAAAAAATAATTTGCCCCCACAAAATTTTTAGAAAGTCGTATTAAGTTTTTAGTTTTTTTAATGTTCTATATTAAAACTTTCTAATATTTTTTTAAAATTCCATTCAGCCTCTTAAATTTTAAAAACAAAAATTAGTTAGATTCCAATTTTTTTTAAAGAAATGTAAATTAAGCTCTTCAAAAATTTTGAAAATTTTGATTTAAATCTGTAATCTTTTTAAATTTTAAGTTGATCCTCCTAAACTCTATCACCAAGTTATGCCTCTATATACATTAATATATAATTAAGTTACATTAGCATATTAATAATGGTAATAAGTGATACATAAGTATTAATAATTAATAAATTATGATGAGAAGACTATAGTTATAACTTATAATTTCATCATTAAAATGTCCAATTTTCTATGAACTATTAATAAATATTTATACATTTACAAATACCACTATTATTGTAACAGGGATACAAAATTAAAATTATATAAATTTACAAATAACTCGCAAATAATAGATCATTAACTATATATTGTCTTTCAATTCATTAACTATATACCTTTCAATTCATAACTCGTAAAATTATATCAATTTTACAAATAACTCGCAAATAGTAGATATAATGGCGGAGTTATATGCTTTTCAAGGTGGACATATGTCTATCTTGGAATTTAAAATTAATTTATTAAATATTTATTTTTTATATATGTGTCCACTCTAAAATTTATTTGTATATATTGTCTATCCTAATTTTTTATGTGTCCACCCTAGATTTATTTATGCCTAAAAGATAACTAAAAATGACTAGTATAAACATTATTTTTGTTTTGGTTTAAAAATCCATTCATCAAGCCCGAATCAAAATAAAATCAAAAATATATCTAGTTAAAACTCAAATCAAATATGCAATTCAAATCAAATATACAATCTTGATCCAATACCCTTAACCCCAATAACAACCGAAAAATGACAAAACCATTACCTATTCTCATATTTCAATAGGGTTAATCTAGAAAAAAACTCTAATAATATGATAAGACTATAATCTTCAAAAAAAAATATAACACAACTTAAAAATCAGCAAAAAAAAGTCTATAGACCTACAAAAAAAAATAAAGAAGAACTAACATAAGAAACTAAAATAAATAAAGCAAATTTAAAGGAAAGGTCAAACTTCATTGAGATTTTTCAGTGATGACAAACATCTCCAACATTGTTCCTCATTCGACTAAGGAAGCAGGAGAAGAAACTCAAGATAAGATAGAGGGATTGCATCAAGATATATTGTCAAGTCATATTGCATATCTAACGAATACGAAAACAAAAGCTTTATCGGTGTGCGATTGCAAGCAAAGATAGAGAAGAATTAATATTATCAAATTGAAAGTAATTTGTACAAGTTAATTACTTTTTTATTTATTTTTTTTAAAATAAAAAAATATTTTTTAATTATTAAAAAATGTCAATGTTGAAAAGCCTCTATATAAATATATAATTATCATTTATGAGATATATTTTGAAAATATTCTAAAATAATATGTATCTAAAAATATTCGTAAATAAAGTAAATATTTGTAATATTTAATATCGCATCTAGAATTATCAATAAAAAATCTTAAACATTTATAAGGTCATTAGCCGAAATGTTGACACGTATAACAATCCAATGAACAATATATCTATAAATATGAGATGAAATTTATCATTATTACTAGAATAGTGAAGAGTGTTAAAGTAAGAGAACTTATACGTAGAAAAGAAAAAAAAATAATAGGGTAAGTGTGTTATATTACAATTTTATTATGTATTAATAAAAGTGTTGCATTCTCTTGTAATTATACGTTTTCCGACTAAACCTTAATTTATTTTAAGTTATTAGTTCATTTGTGTTAATTTTAATATATGATCAGTTCTATCCAGTGGCGGATCCACTAAGGACCTAGGCTGAACATGTACACACCCTGGAATTTAATTTTTCTCTTGATAATTATATATTTTAATAGTTTTGTCCACCTTGAAATTTTAATTGTGCCCACCATGTATCAAAATTTTATGTAATTAATATATATGTGTGTCCACCCTAAAAAATATTTCTAGATTCGCCACTGAAATATATAATTATTACGAGATGTAGCTCGAGAATATTCTAAAATAATATAAAACTGAAAATATTTGTTAAATAATCTAAATATTTTTAATATTTGATATCACATCTAGAATTATCTATAAAAGATTCTCAACATTTATAAGATGAATAGAAAAAATGTTGACATGTATCAACAATCCAAAAAACACTAAAATCTATAAATATGAAATGGGATTTGTAATTGTTACTAGAGTAGTGAAGAGTGTAAAAAGTATGGTAGAGTAAGAGAACTTATAGGTACATAAGAAAAAAAATAATGATGTAAGTGTGTTATATTGTAATTGTATTATGTACTAATAAAGGTGTTACATTCTCTTGTAATTATAAGTTTCCCGATTAAACCTTAATTTGTTTCAAGTTATTAGTTCATTTGTGTTAATTTTAATATATGATCAGTTCTACCTAGTGACAGATCTATTAAAGATCTAGGGTGAGCATGTGCACACATTGAAATTCGAATTTTATTCGGATAATTATATATTTTAATAGTTTTGTCCACCTTGTATCAAAATTTTATGTGATTAATACATATTGTGTCCACCTTGAAAAATATTTCTGAATCTGCCACCGAATACATCATTAACTCTTATGCTTGATGTCTTTGTTGCCTTTATTTCCTTTGTTTCTCCATTATTCTCGTGCAATGGTTATAGGGTTATAAATTATCCGAGCTTGAACAAATAAGATTATGTTTGTATTCGTGTTTGTTTGTTTATTTTTAAAGGTTTTCATGTTTGGTTCGTGTCAGTTTATTTATTTTCAAAAGTGTTTGTGTTTGTTTGTTTAGCACTCATGAACATGTTCGTTTAATGTTCTATGTTTGTTTATATGTTAGCGAACATGTTCACTTAATATTCATTTATATGTTCATTTATTTTTCATTTATATGGTCGCGAACATGTTAACTTGCAAGCTAATGGTAAAATTACGACACTAGTGCTTAAACTCCTAGAACTTCATACTTTATACTATGAATTCCATCGTGTGTTTAGTTTAGTCATACATTCACCAATATTTAAAATGAAAAAAAAATAAACAAGCTTGTTCATGAACATAAATGAACGAGTTAATAAACAAACTTATAAATGAGTTTATTCGTGAACATAAACGAAATAAACACTTTTATTCGTGTTCTTTTATTTATTAAATGAATATAAAAATTTTGTTCATACTCCTTTATTTAATTTAATAAAAAAATATAAAAGAATATTACACGAATGATTCATGAACAATTATCAAACACTATGTTCACTTACACTTCTAAATAATTATAACCATCATTGAATTATGTAACAAACTCTATTAAGTTTTTTAATGAGAATTTTTTAAAACTAATAATAGTAACTAATTTTATAAATAAAATAAATAATTTAATAAAATTACAATACAAAAATACAATAATAGATTAATCGTACTAATTAACACAAACTAATCACTAAATAATGAAAAAAAATTATACTAAAAGAAATAATCAAACAACTTAAAGTAGATACAAACAAATATTGTTATCTACGATGGAGTATAAAAATTATCAAAGAACACAAACAATCACTAAATATAAACATATACTATTATCGTTAGTGAAGGATAAAAATAATTAACAATAATATGTCAACGAGTGTTGGTATAAATGGTTAAATTCAGGAATTTGAGTTGGTAGGGTCAAGTTTGAATCCCACCACCGTCACTCTTGATGGACAATCTATAAAGTCCTATGTAAATCATAATTGGGTCTTAGGTATGTCCTGGCTCTGGATTGGGGGAATCACCCTTGATCTAAACTTTTATACAAAAAAATTAATAATAATATTAAAATAAATATAACAATGACATCATGTTAATAAATTAATTTTTTTCACAATTTAAATTCATCTAAAATGATTGTGAGTATCTATCAATATAAAAAATCAATTCGGAGATTCAAAATAAAGGTATATCAATACGAACAAATAAAACTTTTATATTTTTTATATTAAAAATTGATTAAATAAAATAAAATAATAAGTAAAATATACAAAATAAAAACAATAAAAAGACAAAAATTGGAAGAAAAAAATAATGATCAATAATTAATTTTCAAATAAAAAACCATGATTTTTCATAGGTGCGATGTTTGAATTTTTCATATGAGATTTAAATATTGTGTTTATAATTAGTATATTTTCGTTTGAGTTGCAAACAATTGGATTATTTTTTGGTACATATTTTATGACAAAAAAAGGACGAAATTGAAAGAAAACTAAAGTTTGGGAGGGGACCGTTAAATACATTGATTTGGTCGTGAGCTGAGCTCCCACCGAAAAAGCCAAATCCCTCGTTGCCTTCTTCTTTCCTTGAAACGCCGCTTTACCACTTCTCTCTTATGTTCTCAAATCCTCTTTTGCCTTTTTCATAATCCGCAAATATCTAATGGCGCTAATTAACCCTCACTCAAAACCCTAGAGCATATCTTTCTCCTTCGTTTTTGCTTTCATTTCATATCTGATTATTATTTATTTAATTCGTGAAGTGGAATGGATGGAGTGAGTAGCAGTAGCAACGTCCAAAACGATGCATCGACGAGCAGCGGAGCAAGCCAAACGGCAACACAATCTCAACCAACGCCTCAGCCGGTTGCGGTGCAGAGTGCGAACGCGCCACCGCCTTTCCTGAGCAAGACTTACGATATGGTGGATGATACTGCCACCGATGCCGTTGTTTCTTGGAGCCCAACCAATAATAGCTTCGTTGTTTGGAACCCGCCGGAGTTCGCTAGGGATCTTTTGCCCAAGTATTTTAAGCACAACAACTTCTCGAGCTTTGTCAGGCAACTAAACACTTATGTACGCAAATTTTTGTTTGTTTGCTATTTCCCTTACCTTTGCTTTCTTGTTTTAGCTTTTAAGAACTTACGTTTGGTGGTAAACTACAATTGCTGCTGTCTGTTTTAGTTTGACTTGTGAAATATGTGATTTCCTTGTTGATGATAAGGCGTGATTGCGGATTTGAAATTGTGCTCAACCGAGTTAATGCATTGAAAATGGTTGGCTCCATTAAAGTCATTGCCGAGAAGGTTTAGGAAAACAACGATCATAGAGGATAGGTTTTATAAATCTTTTATATCAAATTAAATTTAGGTTTATAGGATTGCGTAGTAGCGGGCGGCATATTACTGTTCTAAATTGGGCTCTAGGTGAGGCATTCGACCAGCTAGGATTTTGAAGTAATCGGTTAAAGTATCACAAAAGTCAGTAGTTTAGTTGTAAGGTGTTTATGAAGAATTAAGGAACGCATATGGTAAGCTATATTATTATTTTAGTTGCTTCGGTTTCTGAAAACAGGATTAGGATCCTGTCTGAACTAACTATGATGCTTGAACTGGGGATTTGATGGTTTTGTCATTCTCTCCCATGTCATGAAGTTTTGTGCTTTGCGGGTTTTAATTGTGCTTCTTCCTGAATTTTCTCAGCAACTAATTGGAGCAAAAAGGGGGAAATGGGAATAGAATTCAGATCCATGTTGTTCATGATGTGGTTACAAGGTTGTCAAAGGATAGTTACTTCTAGTGCTTCTTGTTTGTTGATACTAGTTTAAATGATTCTTAACTAAATGAAATGTAGTATTAGGTGTAGAGAGACTGGTGCATAGAATGTGTCACGTAGATAAACTAACTGGTTCAGAGCTGGAAAATCCAACATAAAATTGGTCATGACCATCAATGTTGGTTGAGAAACATACTAACTGCACAGACATATTATGGAAGTATTCAGACTTTCCAGTTATACGCATTTGAGATTGACAGATTTTAGGAAATCTGATTTTTGGGCTTTTTCTCAGGGATTAGGCTTTGAGTACTGTGGATTTAAGTATCAAAATGTAGAGGTATAATTTCTGTCTTTCAGACTGAAATGGGATCTAGTTTGTCTGATATGATGGTTAATAAATGAACAAAAATAATGAATATGTTGCAGGTATGAGCAACCAAATGGTATGAGTTCTGTATTTTAGATTTGAGAGGAAGATTTTAATAAGCATTGGTATTTTACGTTGTTCTTGTTGGATAAATTGTTCAATATGGCAATCTTCAGTGTAGTTCAGTAGGGATGGACTCATGCTGCTATTCTAATCCAGTATTCACTTGAATGGGGCCAGCATTTAGTACTTGCAAAAAGACATCTATTGTATTGTGAGAAAATGACAATTTAGTATTCTAAGATCTTAGTTAAATTTTCTTTTATTGCTCCTTCTGCCATGTCTTTAAAAGTTGAAGAGCTAGGCAATGAGTGACATTTTTGCTATTACTACATATGCAATTCTGAAACTGTATTCGTATTTTTTATTCACTTTGCATGCATATTCACATGAATTTTATGTACATGTGCATCATAGATACTCTGCACAAACATGATCGTAGTTGTTTGACGTGATGTCAATTCTATCAAAATGTTCATGATTTCATGTCAAATCTTTGTAGTATCGTTTGGATTTGAATTTTGATTGTAGTTTATGTCGGCTCCTTGACATATTCCTTCAGAGTGGGATGTTTATTAATTTGGCATAATCTTAGTACCATTGGCATTGCATTATGCTTAATGCATGATCCTTCACATATTTCCTTTTGACTCTGATATATATCACTTTTGGCATCTTCAATTGAGCATTGCATTTAATCACTTGGATTCAGTATGGTTGAAATTAGTTGACTCCTGTTGCCACTTTCTACTTGAGCTTCGTTTTATTTGTTTCTATTGGGATATACTCTAGCTGAGTCAAATTTCTGAGCTCTTAGGAGGTTCCATGATAAGCTCTGTCCTTGAGGTAGTGTACATTTTCCCCAATCTGGGTTCCATTTACCAGAAAAGTTCAAAGAATAGAGCCTGAGCTTATTTATTTAAACTAATTCCTAAAATATCAAGCCGCTGCTGGAACAAATGGATGTTTGTACCCGAACTCCACCATTCCCTTGGGAGTTGGGACAAATATATGTAAATTATTTTATTGCCAGTGACAATTCTGCTGATTTTTCTGTTTTATCCATATATTTTGTGCCTGTGTTTTAACAGGGTTTCCGGAAGGTTGATCCAGATCGTTGGGAATTTGCAAATGAGGGATTTTTAAGAGGGCAGAAACACCTGCTTCGCAACATAATCCGGCGAAAGCCTGCCCATGGTCATCAACAGACACAGCAATCACAAGGACAGAGTTCATCTGTGACTGCCTGTGTTGAGGTTGGTAAATTTGGGCTCGAGGAAGAGGTAGAGAGGCTTAAGAGAGACAAGAATGTGCTTATGCAGGAGCTTGTTAGGCTAAGGCAGCAGCAACAGGCTACTGATAACCAGATGCAGAACATGGTTCAACGTCTTCAGGGAATGGAGCAGCGACAGCAGCAGATGATGTCATTTTTGGCAAAGGCTATGCAGAGCCCTGGTTTTTTTGCTCAATTTGTGCAGCAGCAAAATGAGAGCAATAGGCGCATAACTGAAGCCAATAAGAAAAGGAGGCTAAAGCAGGATGTTATGACTGATAATGAGCATTCCACTGCATCTGATGGGCAGATTGTTAAATATCAACCTTTGATGAATGAGGCAAAAGCAATGTTCATGCAGATCATGAAAGGGGGTGCTTCTTCCAGACTAGATTCCCTTAACAACGATGAAAATATCCTGATAGGTGACGGTTCATCATCGTCTAGTGGATTGGATTCAACCCTTGTATCAGGGGTGACCCTTCAAGATGTGCCACCAACTTCAGGTATCTCTGGGCCTTGCCCCTCAGCTGCCATATCTGAAATACAATCTTCTCCAAATACAACATCCTCTGAAAAGATAACAATTCCAGATGTGAGCGCGCTGATTGGTGTAGAAAAGCCACCATCCATGTCTGCTACTCAGACAGATATAATTATGCCCGAGCTTAGTCAAATACCGGAAATGGTCTCAGAAAGCATTGTTGATATTCCTGCGGAAAAATATGCAAGGTCTGAAACTGGGAACGGTGGATTGGATGATCCCACTACGTTTGTTGGAAATGGTCTAGTACCCATAGAACTTGATGACATTGTTTCCGATCCCGACATAGATGCCTTGCTAGATGGCTCCACATTTTGGGATGACCTTCTTTTGTATAGTCCAGCGCCAGAGGATATTGAATCAACCTCAATCGTAAATGAAGCGCAAGGGCAACTGATGGACGATGGATGGGACAAATCTCAGCATTTGGATAAACTTACAGAACAGATGGGTCTTCTTAGATCAGATAACAAGAAGGTCTAATCTTGTGTTATATTTCATTTATTTCAACTTAAAACCCAAAAGTTATGTAATACTTTTAGTTTGGAACTGGAAAACGATGAATCCCTTCATTGCCTGTGTTGTTCTCTCACATGTACATTATTCTCTGTTTCTGTTGTTCCTCATAACTGGAAATTCCCTTTCACTTCACCTCTTGTCGGTCCAAGGAACTTGTCAAATTTGGTAATTGGTGGGTCATTATATGAACAAATAAAAAATGTTAAATTTAAAGATTAAAAGTTTCTGTTTTTTTTTTTAATTTTATTTCTCAAACCAAAAAGGAAGCCTTCTCTTTCCTCGCATTTCGCAATTGAAGTCTTAATTTTAGAAGCACATTCTTTTAGTTAACAAATAGCTTCATAATTTTAGAATGCAGATTGTTCATGGCGATATTAAACCGTCGAATCTGTTGATAAACGAGAAAGGAGACGTGAAGATTGCAGATTTCGGAGTGAGCAAAATTGTTGTTGGCACACGTAGTGCCTGTGGCTTGCGCATGGGTACATGTGCTTACAGGAGTCCAGAAAGGGTCGACCCAGAGAAGTGGAATGGGGGCAAAGCAGATGGTTCTGCCGGTGACGTTTGGTCGCTAGGTGTGGTGCTCATGTTTCGTTGGCCATTATCCGTTGGTCATTCTCAGAGAAACGCCTGATTGGGCTGCACTTATGTGTGCCATAAGCTTACAGGAGAGGCTGCAGATACCGAAGACAGCTTCGCCGGAATTTAGAAGCTTTGTGAGGTGTTTGGAGAAAGATTGGAGACAGATAGGAACGGTGAATGAGCTTCTTGCTCACCCTTTTGCGAATAGGAGCTTTTGAAGGATTCATGGACTTTGCCTTTGAACCATTGAATTCTTCATCAATTTTGCTAGGAAAAAAAATTATTTTCAGTACTTTTGATTTTTCTCCCTCATAATTAGACCTTTCTGGGTTTTCAAACATTTGGAGTTTGCAGCTAAACTGGTTGTTGGATAAGTGCAGCGAACTTAAAGCTTAATTCAGATATTTGGAGTTTTCAAAGAACTTGGTCGCATTGTAACTGCAGATTTCCAGCCTACAAACACGACCTTTATTCAGAGCCGCTGAGAACTCAAACATTAACGCAACACCAAGGTTTATGCAGGTTGATCATTAGCTACTGTAACTTCGAAACAGACTGTAAACACGAATCGAATTCCACACTACAACGGATTGACAGGTTTGATCATTTAAGGAGTATTCAAAAGTCAAAATGTAAAGGCAAAACTGTCTTTGCTTATTAACTACAGCCAAAAGTGATGTAATTCTTCAAATGGGTGGCTTGAATTTGAATACATAATGCGGTTCAGCAATGTATAGATATATAGAGTTGTTTCCTAGAGCCAATATTTTAGCTATGAAGTCCAATCTCAAGATATCTGAAAATCATTTTGGTGGAGCCATGCTACGATTCGTTGTAAACTCTGTCTGCTTCTGCAGAAATCCACCTGCGGAATCCATAACATCGAATCAATAAACACATTTCCGTAAACATACAAGAAACAATTGCAGTCCATTTGCAGCTAGAAAGGCTATACAGAGAAATAACTAGCTTTTCATGACATTTTAGTTGCATTTCACTTCCTTTTACCGAAAACCGAATCTGATTTAGAACAGAAGAAGTAAAGAAACCAGAGAGAAAAAGGAAAGTGCATGGAAATCAGAGGACAAATAGAAGAATGACAGAGAGAACCAAGGGGGAAACCCAATATGCAAAGGTCTTGAAAGGAAAATACTGTAGGTTGTTAGAGAATGATGGAAAATGAATCAAACGATCCGAATTTAAGCCATGCATCAAATATACAGGATGTAAAAAAAAGTGTGAGAATGCAATTGTTGTCGGATGAATCGAAGAACTAACCTGGTCTTGATATGAGGTGGATGCGGGAACGAGGGCCTTCGAACTTCCAGTTATCTTCATCCAATGATTTAACCTCTTCATTGAGAGCAGCCATCAAATCGATTTTAGAACTGCAATGTACAAGCAATAAGAGTTTAGTCTATGCCCTCTGCTCAGGTTTAAGGGGGGAAATATATATAACACAATTAATCCTCCAAAACAATCTCAAGAAGTTTACAAACAGAAACCAAATCAATCAATCAAAAATTAAATTTTATCATCCATAAATTCCATTTCTTTGATGTCAAAATCCACCCAAAGTCTCATACAAGAAGACTATAAAATCACCCAATACTAAAGGCATCAACAAGTATTCCAAAAACCCACAATGAATAATGAATACATGTAGCAAAAGCACTAAACTTTCACAAGAATTCCACAAATATAATTAAAACCTAAATGCTCATGCAAGAGTAAAACCATCCTAATGGCTAAAAACACGAACTTTACAGTATTAAATGATGCATAGTACAACTCCAAAGGGGAAGAAAGAAGGAAACAAACCAAGCGTGGCCTCATCCTTGCGGTCTTGGATCGATATAAGATCCGATGGGAAATGGAAATCATCCAAAGCAGCATTAGTGCCACCACTTGCTCCTCCTCCTCCAACGATTGCTGTTGTTGATATCGATGAATTCGCTGGTGATGAACTATTCATTTTCCTTTTTCTTTTTAGAGGGGAAAAGAAATGATATTTTTTGGTTGAACAAGAAAACAAAAAAAAAGACCCAACTTCTATCAGATACTTGATTTACAGTTCAGTTCTCAAACGACTGTTTTATTGACTATGGAGCATCTGGGCCTTATTTAAGCCCAAAGCTCTGTTCTTTGATTTAGATCTTCGTTTCATTTTGTTCTTCGTCTTCCAAAAATCGATTCGAATTCAAATTCATATGCATCTTCTTTCTACGTAGTGAAATCTCTGCATGTTTTGATAAACTCTGGGCTGGATCGTATTGATGATTGGAATCACAATTCTTCTTGATAATGGTACTCTGCTTTGATATTTTATATACTCTCATGTTTGTCTACGTAAAACATTTAATTTGAAGTAGAAAATGTCCAACCTTGGAGTTTTCATGTAATCTCTCACCCATTTTGTTTCTTCCATTCAGTTTGAGCTTCCCTTGGAGTATTAAATGTTTGGGCTTCAAAATCTTAAAAAAAATAGGCGCCAGGGTAAACCGGCATTTGATTTTGCTATCATAGAAAACATACTGTTTTCTGCTAAAACCAGGCTTGTTTCATCTTCTGTTTTTGAGGTTGATTAGCACGTTCTACGTGTTACAGGATTTAGAAATATGCCCAACTTAGAATTGCCTTCATTTCCGTCCGATCGATCTGTCGGGTTAGTTAAAGAAAATCACCTTTTTATACGATCTCGTTCAATTACTTCGTAACCGATGCAACTATCATTGAGGCAAAATGCACTCGAATGCAACTATCATTGAGGCAAAATGCACTCGAATGCAACTATCATCAAGGCAAAATGCACTCGAATAGGGGCACTGACGGTCGAAAGAAGGTATCCAGTGAAAGAAAATCAAATATATTGAAAAACAAAGAATTACAAGAAATTTTAAGAAAACAAAAGGGGGCACACAAAAAGCTGCAACACATAACACAAATGCTAAAAGAAAATATACAAGAAGCTAAAAAAGATATGGTATAATGAACGACCAAACAACCACATGTTATATACTAATTCTAGAATAGAACTCCTGTCAGACATCATATGCTTCGCAAAACAACGTAATCAAATGCATCACCAAAAATATAACCCTCTTGTTCTTCAAAGATCTCTCTAGATTGTCCTATAATCAAATTCGATGAGCTTCGTATCAAGCTGCTAGTACTATGACCACGATCAGAATCACAATTGCAAATATCACCAGGAGCAAACAGGTCTGCCCAAAGAGAGTAATGAAATTAATTCCTTGGGATGGAAGGTATCTTTCACCAGTGAAAACAACTATTTATTTAAGACTGCTTTTAAATAGGCAGGTAATTGGTGTGTACTCAATCAGGATTCATGGAATCATCGAAGGAAGCCCCAAGCCGTGTTCCGCTATCCTAATCAAAAGGGACTACGAGTATAGTTTACCATAAAACTAAAAGAGAAGAATCGAAGCATTATAGATTACCAGAGAAGAATTTGATCTCTGAGTCTTTGCAGCCTTCACAAGTTGTGATTTAGCCTGTACAGTGGCAGCCAGTGAATTTTCAACATGGGTACCGATGTCATCTGCAGCATTGATTAACTTTCAGTACTTTTCAATATGACCCAGGATATCAGAACAATCATATACTAAAATGAACAAAATACAAAAGATGATTTTTTTTTACCAATCATAGTTCCTTGCTCGTGAACTAGCACAGCTAGATCTTTGAAGATCTCATTCACCTCACCAATTTGCTGCTGAATTTCTTGAATTCCTTGTTCTCTTTCTTCGATGATAGCCTCATTAAATGCAATCCCATTATCCAACAGCAGGACCTCCTGTCTGCAAAGAAAAAAACACATGCCAAAGGCTGTAGTTTGATAACCGAATCCATAAAAATCAACAATAAGATAAAACAACACATAAATAGTATAAACAAATAGCATTCATGATCAGGCATAGTTTTGCTCTGAAAATTCTAGGAACAAAATTTTGAATATATAAATCGTATAGTGCATGGGAAAGAATATATGATCAATCATATTTCCAGAAGTATTTATTATTTAGAATAAAAAATTGTATGACACAAGGTATCACTCGGGATCTCTTTCATTTATGATACTCCAATCTAATACTAAACACGGATATAAAAACAGGCAAGCGTGCATGTAGACACATAATACAAGGGAAAAAAACTGGCATATGGATTCAAACAAGTCCAGGATCTATTTAAAAAACAGGTACAAGCTTCCTAAAAAACATGAACTACAGGGAGGAATAGTGAGCAAGAAAATTCAAAATCCATGTATGAATTCCAGAAGTATTCACCATATGAAAGGGATAAGAATTTGTAAAGCAGAAGTTACCTTCTTGATTCTACAAGAAGAGCTCGCTGTTCGGCACTTTGATCCGATCCCACATCTATCTCACCAGCTGTGTAGCTGCATAAAACAGGAAAATGCCTCTAGTGAGAATAACTGTGATATGCAGAAGTCTATGGCATTTTGAAGTATAATACAATAACTATCAAACGGTTTACATTTACAACCTAAATGACAGAAAATTCAGTAATCAAAATGGATGTTTTATGAAAGATTTTCAGAATCATCTTGCTATGGACTCAATTTCTGTGTATGCCATGAACACAAAAGCATTGAAATCACTCTCCTAACATCTATGTAAATGTAAGCCCTCAGTTAATAGATACCTTGAAGGAAGAACTGTTTGGGGAACAAAAGGAGTGTATGCTGTTTCTCTTTCAGCTGCAAGCCGTTGAGCCTTCTGAAACTCTTTCAAAACTACTTGAAAGTCTTTTGCAAGTTTAGCATCAGTTACCTTCTTGCTTGCCTACAATTATAAGGATATCAAGTACTACTGGAGGGGGGAAAAGGGAGGCGCAACAGGAGAGGTTGAGCGATTTTATACATAAATTCAATAACCCATGTATAAATTACCATGAGTTTGAAACATAGAACAAGAGGGAAATTGCGAATAATAAACAGTATAGTCATCTCTCTTCTGAGTTGACTTTCAAAATCAAAACCAGAAAACAAACTTACACTAACTTCAGCACGATGATCTGTTTCACTAGCTTGTTTAAGTTTAGCCGAAGTGTCCTTCACTAATTGCCCAATATGTAGCCTCGTTTTATGCCTGCCGATAGATATTTGTCAGGTAAATTCCCCCCCCGGGGGGAATCTAATTACCAATATAGTCAAAATCGCTAAAGCAATGCGAATGATAGCAACTCGTCCAAAGAAAGCATATAACCCGACATTAAACATTGAAACATATATACACTTGTTCAAAGAATTTTTGACATTTGTCCCTACGAAAATGATAATTCGCTGAGCTTTCTCAAGAACAAAGTCAAATTGAACTTGACTAAGGCCATTATTTGTTATCCAAAACAAACAAACAAAGATCAACTAGAAAATTAAACAAATAATGTTATGTACTATGATTCAAAATCACAACAGGATCGTATTTCTATGAATATCCCGTGCTCAGTTAAAATTGCGATCCAAAGAACTAAAACTGGGCAAAGACTCACAGCTTTTCTCGGAGCTCAGGCGTGTCCTTAGGAGTGCCGATGGTATTGACGAGTCGCTGGAAGGTAGAAACGGCGGTGTTGATCTGGAAAATGCCGGAAGTCACTGCTTGGGTGGCATCTTGCTTGCCGTGGTTCAGATTTTGCCGCGACGACAATGGCCGTCCAGCTTCCAGATCTTGAAAGCTCATGACCGCTACTTCTCTATAAGTTTTTCGATATAACCCCCAACCTTTTCTTCTCGAGAAAATAAATTTTCTGGAGGAAGTTATTGGGAAAACGACAATATATGCGAACCGAGCAGGCTCTTTGGCTACAGTTGGAGTAGATATAAAAGGAAGAAGCAATTCACAATTTGACCCCTAAAACATAAACTTTTCTTTCATTTTGGCATTTAAACTTTTTTCCTATTTTAATACCTACAATATTCGCTGTTATACTTTTTAGTCCAAAATGTTACAGACGTTAGAGAAAAAAAAACCTTAATCCAATGAGCATTAACGTCTGTTAAATGTTGGACTGAAAATTATACAAAATAAATATTTTAAATATTGAAATATGATAAAAGATTTAAGTACTAAAATGAATAAAATATATATTTTAAAGGTCAAATTGTACATTAAACTTAAAAAAGGCAATAAAATAACAGCGAGAGAATTGAGGGACCGTGACAGATGGAAAGGGAAGGGGAAACAAATCTGCCGTCTTCAAAAGAGTATATATTATAGTATATAAATAGTAATTAAATTTGGAAAATTTTACAATTTAATTTCTTAAGCACTTAGTTCATGCTAATCTCAAAACTTCAAACTTTTTTTCTCTATTTAATCTCCAGATTTGGATTTTTTTAAATATACATAAATATTTTTCCTATTTTAGGTGATTGTGTAACACAATTTAATAATACCGAAATAAATTCTAAATTTAAAAATTTAATAAAAATAAGCTCTAAGACCAGTATAGATAAAAATTATTTATAAACGTAAGTTTAAAAGATAATAATTTTAAGAATTAAGTGTTGTTTTATCCTTAAAATAATAATAATAATAATAATAATTTGATAAATATATCGGGCGAGGCGGTTTGTTTAGGGATTTCTATTGTTGGCGTTGGCGCTGGCGCTGGCGCGTGGATGATTTGTAATTATTTAGTTTATTTATTTGGCTGTTGATTATTATTCTGTTTTCTTTTGTTGGTACGGCAAAGTGATATGGATGGGAACACAGAAACGTGGCTGATGAATACTCGGCAAGGTGAGATGTCATCATGTCAACCGATGGCCTCCCTCTTTGATTGAATTACAAAATTCATAATAATAACTAAATTTTTTTAATTTGATGTTACATATTAATTTAAAGGGTAAACTACATAAATGACCACATAACTAAAGGTCGTGTCACAAAATGACCACTATTGTTAAATTTACATCAATATGACCACTGAACTATTTAAATGGTTTCAATATAGACATACCGTTAACATTTAATGAAAGTGTTTACGTGACAGTTAATAAAATTGGTATAATTAGAGTGTACGTTCTTGTAAAGTTACGTATTCACGGTGTTGGCACTCTTCTTTGTTTTCTTCCATTTTGGTCATTACTTGTATATGATTTGTTTCCTTGGATTTTCATTTAATGCAATTTGATCATGATTATATTTTAATTTGTCAGATGCCTCAATTTGAGCATTAAATTTAAAAATGTAATACCTCAAATTTTGTTAGTGACTAAAATGTAAGTTTTGAAAGTTTAGTGGCTAAAGTATACACTTTGAAAATTAGGTGCTGAAATTGTAATTTTTAAAAGTTATATATTTTAGCCCGTAAATGAACATTTTGGTTTAAAACAATGATTTTTTTTGTTAATCATATTTTCGGTACGAGATTTGTGTTAAAAGCTATAAAGCGATAAAATTCGGTATTGAAATCGGATAATCAAATCGATCCGGAATTTTACAAAAAATTGAAAGATGTTAGAATATGGTTGGAAATATTTTTTTTATATTTTAGATCAGATAAATTTGGCTCGGAACAGTGTAATTTTTCATATTTAACTGAACAGTGGAAATTTAGTGACTAAAATGTGATTTTTGAAAATTACATGGCCAAAGTGAAAATTCAAAGTCAAATTGATTCATCTTTGACCAAGGAATATTTTAATGGAAGATAATACAATGACATTTGGTAATTTTCAAGATTTATTAAGGGTATTTTTGAGATTTATCATTAATTGAATATTAAATTCAATTAATTAGAAAATGACATGCGTTTTATCTTTTAAATACTAGAATACTCAAGACAATTAAGCCATTTTCAGCTTCTTTCTTCTCCAAGGTCGAACCTCCCTTGTAAAAATAGGTAAAATTTTTATTTTGAGTTTTCAAGTTATATAATTAGTTTTTGGATTAAGCTATTAGATAGAGAATTAATCTACATGAAATTTTCTATCGTTTGGTACCAATATTTCATGGTGAATATGATTGTGTGATGAGATTTCATGATTAGGGTTCAAGGAGGGTTTAGTGATTTTGAATAATTGATGGAGGATTTTTATGTTTTTGATGTTAGTGATTATTTCTAAAGCATGTATGATGATTAAAATTAATTGTACATGCATATATACGGTTTGGCATGTTTATGGAAGTGTTAGGATTTGGATTCAATTTGATGTTGTAATGATTGGAAATGCATGAATTTAATCATATGATGTTGAATTCATGCTTGAAATTGAACTAAAAGTTCCCCCTATGTGATATAATGTAACATCCTCAATACCGGGTCAGTGATTTAAGTGTAAGATTTTTAATTCAATGACCAAACTAAATAAATTGAATAGTGAAGGAATTAATTGAAAGATGTTGGTGTAGGATTGATTAATAAGTGAAGAAGAAGTAAGATGGTAAAAGGGTCATTGAGCAAATAAAATAATAAAATAATAAATTATGGGTATTATAATACCCATGTGAATGAATTGAAGAGATAAGTTCCAGATTACTCATCCCCCTTTTCTCTTCATCTTCTTCCTCTTCAACGTGAAACCCAAGCTCAAGGTAAGAATCCAAACTTTGGTCGTTTCTTTGATTTTTAGCTTGGAAATTGAAGTTTGGATGTTATATAAGCTAAAGGAAAGCTTATATGACATTAAAACAACAAGATAAAATGTTTTAGAGATAGATTTGAAAAATGGGTTTTTAGATGAAATTTTGATATGGATGAGTTTTTGAAGTTTGAATAAGATTTTTGACTTGTCAAGAGGTTAATTAAGGAATATAGAGTGTTAGAATTGATTAATAACATGTTTGGAATTTGGGTATGATTATTGGTTTTAAGAATTTGAATGAAATATTGGAAATAATAAAGTGTTGAAATGATAGAAGTTAGTTAAAATGGTTGTAGTTAAGTTTGGTAGTATGAAATGAACTTTGTATGAGAAAATTTAGTGAAGGGTTGATGATTTTCAGGCTTGAACAGTAAAATTTACAAATTTTGCAGAGGGAACCGATACCCCTAGGGGGGAATCGATTCCCCCTAAAGGAAAAGTTAAGATTTGGTTCATTAAATTTGTTTAAGATGTTAGAGGTTAATTGCAAGGTTTAGGATTTTGATAATTGTCTCGAAAATTATGTTCATGTAGATATCGAGCCTAAACGAGTTCCGGAACAAGGGACGAGTAAGATCGATCGAGGGAAAGGTAAAGAGATTTAGGTGAGTGCATATGCATATCATGATTATAGAAATACATTCAGGTCTAGACTTGTGATAAGTCTAGATTTTATATCTTGATACATGAATAATAATATGACTTCTAGGTGTACATTACTATAATCATATGTTATGTGTGTTATATGCATTATTTTACCTAATTTATGTATTACATGAAAATGTGAGTCAGTTATGCAGCATGGAGTTATATGATTATATGAAAAGATAATATGAGCTATATGATAAAGGTAAGAAGTTACATGTCTACGCGATATAAACTACATGAAATGTAAAAGCCCATGTTATGTAGATGAGAACTATAGGTATAGTTGGCATGCCAAGAGTACAGGGTCTACGCGGTCTTTCGGGACAAAATTCTACGTGGTCCTTCGGGACGTATATGTATTCTTTGGAGTATGTATGATGTCTTTTGAGACATGTACTTGATCTTTGGTATATGTAAATGATTCTTAAGGAATTTTTATGTGGTCCTTAGGGACATATTATATGGCACTACGGTGCAATTCTACGTGGCACTTCGGTGCATCTCTATGTGGTCCTTCGGGACAAATTCTACATGGCACTTCGGTGCAAATTTATATGAGCTGTGGTGACAGCATAGTGCACAACCTCACAGTACTCACATACCTCGGGTTCTCAGTATTGTATCATGGGCTATTGAATCTATTGAACTTACGGAATTTATTATATGAATTTATGATGATTAAATTGAGAAGATTATTGGTAAGGTACATTGTTATGTAGCTTACATTGATTGCGTAGATGTTTTCGTTACGTTTTATTTTATTATAGCATCATTGTTATTATTATTATGCATCACTAAGTCTATGACTTAGCGTGTAAGCGATTTACATGTAGGTACGAAGAACCAAGATTAGCATAAATAGAAGTGGCAAAAACAACAACACTGTTAGAAGATCAGATCAGAAGTAATTACTAAAGTATGTATTTTGATTGTGTATAATATGTTAGTATGTAAGAAATATAATAAGTTGTTAGTACTAACGCTCTGATCGACTTTTCTAATATTTTGAACATATTTATGTAAATGTAAATGTATAGTAATGAATGGTTAAATTTTTACAAGTTTTATGTACGTTTTACGGAAGTACTGTAGCAGGGGAATCGATTCCCTGTAGCAGGGTACCGATTCCCTATTTGCATGCTGGAAAATTTGTGTTCATGCGTATTTTAATGTACACAAATACGTTTTTGCCTAAAATTTTATTATAAACATAATTTAATAATTTATTATAGTACTTTCTTAAAATAAGTTCAAATGTTTTGTTATTTTGTAAGGAAAAATGTTTTAAAAAGGCAATGTGACATCTCAGACTCGTATTCGGATCGGGTACGGTTTGGGGTGTTACATTTAATGGCATCAGAGCTAAGGTTTAGTCGATTCTCGGCATAAACCGGAGTCTAGAGTGTCGTATAATATATACATGCCAACAAATAGTGAAAACTTCTGATCTGATGGAATAGTAAGTATGTTTTTTGCTAATAGAATTATATGGTTGTATTTTTATAGATGTCCGGACAAGGTAGTTCTAAGAATGAAACGG